ATTTTTCCTTCAACTCTATGTTGCTTTTATACTTTATATCTTTTCCCATACATCTCTAAGTATTGTAAATTCTGCAGATATGGGATGGAGTACTGAAGCCCCAAGCCCATAAAAGTACCCCCTTGAGCGAATTTTTTACTGTGAGATCTCTTGTATTCTTCTCTTCTCTTTGGTCATGTTTGATTTGTATAATGTTCTTATTAGTCAAAGCCTATTTTCTCTGGTACTTCATTTTTTAATATGAAGAAGTAGTTGCTTTGTCCAGTTACAAAGAGAAGGAGGAGAAGTTTAATGAAGAGGTAACTCCTTTACTATCAGAAGTCAAGTGGCACAACGGCAGGTTCTAAGTTAAAAATTCAATGGATGTGAAAATAAATCCACATATTGAATTGGGTTTATGGAGGTATATTAGGTATTAAATTTGGGTTTAAAGAGATATTAATAGTTTAGTTAAAAATCAAATGAGTGTAAAAAGTAAGTTGGGTGTATAAATAGGTTAGATGGGTTTAAATAAAATTTCCCTTAGACAATTCTACCCTGTATTAATTTTAAGGGGCATTAAGATATAGGTCCAAAAAATTGACATACTATTGGCTTTAGTCTAATTTTTTTAAATTTCTGATTTAGGTCCACTTAACTATTTTTTAAACCTATTTTACCCTTTGTTTTCAAATTTTGAATATTTAAACATTTGCAATCTACTAAACATTTAAAAAACGTTTCAATTCTTTACCTTTTAATAAAATAAAATATTTTTATCATAGATTAAGTTGCAAAAATATACAACCTATCAGTTCATGATTTTTTTATCAGGGCTCAAAGTCTAAATCCAAGTCTTGATCGAAATGGAAATGGGAGAAGCAATTTCAGTTAAAGTTTCTTCCTTTTTTAATTATATTTTTAATTTTCCAGATTTTTTTTTTCAGTTTTATTTTATCTTTAATATTATTTAAAATCCACATAAGCATCCATGTCATTTAATAAATAAATAAGAACTCTTGGATGTCATGTAATCAAAAGGCTTAAAAAGAGTGTAAAAGTATTTGTAAAAATATTTGTCCTTAATCCTATCTCATACATAAGTGTACATATACCTATAAGTAAGATATCAAACGAAGAAAATATATCTAATAATAGGTAGATAAACAAACTGAAAGGTACAAATACACAATTGACCTACATATAAGCAAGATAAATTACTATGCAATATAGGAAAACATATAGAAGCAATTTGCGATAGAGATAGATAATAAAAATAGAAAAATATAATCTGCCTATAATAGAGGTAGGTTATATAACAAAATCTTGTGATACAGGTAGATAAATATCAGCCATGAAATCAATTAATTTGAGTAAAAATACAACCCAAATGAAGATCCAACTTTGACCACCAAATTAACTAATTTGAACACAACAAGCAATATGATGAAAGAAGCCAACCAACCTCCATTCTTTGATCAAACAGAATCGAGTTTCATATATACTAGAAGCCTAAGAAGAGAAAAGGAAAACTGAACCATGATAAAGAAGAAGAACATTCGCAAGGCAAATGATAAATCCTAACTAAGAAAAAGGTTTTAGATAACAAACTAAAAAGAAAGAATAGATAAATGAAGAAGAAATGAAGAGGCGTATCCTCACTTGGAGGGATATATAAGAAGTAATTTTATTCCAACAATTATCCTATCATTAAGGGAATTTTATTCTTTAAACCTCAAATAGGTAAAACTTATCACAAATACTAATCCTAAAATCAAGGGATAATATTGATTACTTATAAGTAATTTTAGGGGTAAATTGGTATGAAAATGAAAAAAAACTAACATGGAATATAATTGGACTCATCTCAAAAATGACTCACAAAATTGGATTCATATCAAGTTTCTCCTAATTTTAATCACAATGATAAATTAAATTTTAACTTGAATTAAAATATAAATTTGATTGGTGACATATTATTTGGTGTCATATTATTATTAAAAAGCTTAGAATCTGTTTAATATGCAACTTGAATCCCAATTTTTTAACTCAAAAACAATTTTTAGGTCTTAAGTCAATATTCTTGTTAGTAAGACTATTTTAAAAAAGCAAAATCAAAACCAATTTAAAAAATCAACTTAATTTTTAAAAACACAAAAGTCATTTTTAAACTAATCTCTCTCCTAGTCTATTTGTGACATCCCACATCGCCCAGGGGAGTGATCCTTATATGTATATTCCCACCCTTACCTAGCATGAGGCCTTTTGGGAGCTCACTGGCTTCGGGTTCCGTAGGAACTCCGAAGTTAAGCGAGAAGGGGCGAGAGCATTCCCAGGATGGGTGACCCATCGGGAAATTCTCGTGTGAGTTCCCAAAAACAAAACCGTGAGGGCGTGGTCGGGGCCTAAAGCGGACAATATCGTGCTACGGTGGTAGAGTCCGGCCCGGGAAGTGGTCCCGCCCGGGCTGGGATGTGACATTTGGTATCAGAGCCTAACCATGGCCGCGTGTGTGCCGACGAGGACGTCGGGCCCCTAAGGGGGGTGGATTGTGACATCCCACATCGCCCAGGGAAGTGATCCGTATATGTATATTCCCATCCTTACCAAGCACGAGGCCTTTTGGGAGCTCACTGGCTTCGGGTTCCATGGGAACTCCGAAGTTAAGCGAGTAGCGCGCGAGAGCATTCCCAGGATGGGTGACCCATTGGGAAGTTCTCGTGTGAGTTCCCAAAAACAAAACCGTGAGGGCGTGGTCGGGGCCCAAAGCGGACAATATCGTGCTACGGTGATGGAGCGGGCCCGGAAAGTGGTCCCCCCTGGGCCAAGATGTGACACTATTTCTATCCAATCTCTCCCTATATTTTCCTCCTCCCTCTCACTTCCTATCTTTTCTTATTTTTCTCTCTCCCTCTTCTCTTCTTTTTTGTCCTCTTTGTTTTGATCCTTTCCTGCGCTCTCCTCTATTTCTATATTTTCTGATTTTTTATCCCTCCTTACTCTTTTCTGATCCTTTCCTCAGGCCTCAGCTTTCTCTCTCATCTGACTCGGTTCTCTTCTCTCTCCCTTTCTTTCGATCCTCTCTCTTCTCTCTCTCCCTTTCTTTCGGTCTTCTCTCTCCCTTTCTTATTTATTTAATTGTTAAGATTTTTTATTTTGAACAAGCGATAAGATCTACATTAAAAAAGTAGAGGAGTTAATTAAGATTTAAATAATTTTAAATTTCATACTAAACAAGTGTTTGGGTCTTATAAGAAACTGTTCTTAAGAAATTGGTTTAGAAAATATTTTTGAAAATTAAAAAAAAAAATAGTGGGATGCCAAACGGCTCCTAAATTTTCTTAGCCACCATCTTTTTTCTCAACTTTCAATCTGTCATATAATATAGTATGGAATAAGATATATATATATATATATATATATATATATAAGAAATTAATACTTTATCATATTTTTAATATTACATTTGTAATGTCTTTTTGATAAAGATAGAACTCACATATGTTGGTAGTTCTGACTTTATAAAAAATGTGATATAAAAAATAGGGCAAAAGACTATTTACTACCCTCATGTTTCGTGGTTTTCAACATTTAGTACATCAAGTTTTTTTTGTCTCAGAGTCATACCTAAAGTGTTAATTTTGGGACAGTCTTATACATCCGTTAGTTAAACTGTTAATTCTCTCGTTAAGTGATGATGTGGTACCCATGCGGACAATGACTGGGCGCCACGTGACATTAAAAATATTAAAATAATTAATTAAATTAAAGATAAAAAAATAAAAATAAATAAAAAAAAAGCCCATCCCATCTCCCCCCGCCCCCAACCCAGAAGAAGAAGAAGGAAAAAAAAAAAAACCATCCCTTCTCCCCCCTCGCCCCTAACCCAGAAGAAGAAGAAGAAAAAAAAAAAAAACGAATCTGCAACCTAGAAGAAGAAGAAACCCAGTTTGCCGCGACCCACCTGCCTTCACCCACCCCCACCCCCGGCGTGACCACGACCGCGAACCCAGACCATGAACTCCATATCTTTGGGATTTTCAGTGTGGGTGAATTTCGAAAATACTTTCAGATGGGGAGTTTGAGTTTGAGATTATTTTTGGACTGGATCTGGAAACGACAAACTAGGTTTTTTTTCTTTCCTTCTTCTTCTGGGTTAGAGGTGGGATTGGGGTTTTCTTTGTTTTATTTTATTTTTTCCTTCTTCTTCTTCTTCTTCTGGGTTCTTGTTCTTGTTCTGGGTTGGAGGCGGGGAAGAAGGGATAGGGTTTGTTTGTTTGTTTTTTTTTTAATTTAATTAATTATTTTAATATTTTTAATGTCACGTGGTACCCAGTTATTGTCCACATAAGCACCACGTCATCACTTAACGGGAGAATTAACAATTTGACTAATGGATGTATGAGACTGTCCCAAAATTAACACTTTAGGTATGACTCTAAGACGAAAAAAACTTGATGTACTAAATGTTGAAAACCACAAAACATGAGGATAGTAAACAGTCTTTTACCCTAAAAAATATGATAAATATACTTTATATATAATTAAAGATGTACGTTATTCACATTTCAACTCCGTCAAAAGAAAAAAAAAATGTGCATACTAAAGTTAATATTCTATTCTATTCTCTTTAGAAAATATTCAAAATCAAAATCTACTAAATTACATGGATGCCCTTTGCAGAGGAAAGAAGAGGAGGAGAAAAAACAAAAACTCTACAGTCTCTAGCGAAAGAGAAGTCCTCGTTTGGCGAGCAATAACTGGGCCCCGCAGGCACCACATTTCCTTGTTGTTCTGTGCATAAATCAAAAAGTCTGTAACTTCGTTTTCTTTTGACAATCACTCCTTTGACCCAGTTAACAAGAAGAACGGAACCAACACACAAAGAAAAATATAAAAAACAAAAGCATTCACCGCGTCCTACACGTATTCAGAATTTAGAATCTGGTCAATCCGAGTTGGTTACTACTCAATTTCGGCTCAGAATCTGCAGCAAGATTCAGTCAATTTTACAGACCCAAAAAACCCTTTGTATTTTCATACTCTGCTTTTGCTTGCCACAGAAACAAAGAGAAAAGTCAGTTTTTGGACTTTTTATTCTAAAAAAAATATTATTTTCTCTGATCCCACAACCCCACCCTCATGGGATTCTGGGGTTTGTTCTTTTATTAATTTGTTTCCTTCTTTTGGGCCAAGGGGGACTCTGTCCATTATTTCAAGCATTTTATCTATTTACATTTTGACTTTTCATTGATTGTTCACACATTGATATAAAAAGGAGCTGCAGTTTGGCATATCAAACTAACCTGCATCTTTCTTGAACTCTTCTTCCTTAGGTGACTTCTTCTGTTTCTCAATCTCTTAATGCTTTTTTGTTTGTCTTTCGTTTGGGTTCTGTAAATTTCATATGTTTTTTGTTCTTTTAATCATTTGGGTTGTGTTATCTTCCAAGTGCTGAAGTTAATAGAGCATTTCAGTTAGATATTACCATTAAAGATTGCAGCTTTGAGCTTTTTTCTCCTTGAATTTTACTGTTCGTTTCATGTGGGTATGTTTCTTTGTTTCTTGCTGAACAATTTTTTAATTCCATCAGCTGTGATGACTAATCTTCTGAATTCATCGATTTCGATATGATTAGATTATAGCAATTAAGCTGTTGTAAACCCAATGAAGCACCTTGATTAGATTCAGGAACAATATAGGATTCGGGTGCCAGAATTCAATAAGATAGAAGCTAATGGAACATTTTGATATGCAGGTGAACCTCTGTTTGAATTGATAATTGATACAAAATGGCCATCAAGACACTTGGTCTAGTTAAAGGTTGTCTTCCAGAGGAATTAAAGAAGGTACTTTTATCTGTAGCTTCTGAATGGGGGGATGTAGTGGATGATTTGAATGCCTTGCAGGTCACCCCATTGAAGGGGGCCATGACTAATGAGGTGTATCAAATAAGTTGGCCTACGAGGAACGGTGGTGACCTTTTCCGGAAAGTTCTGGTTCGGGTTTATGGTGAAGGAGTTGAAGTGTTTTTTAATCGGGAGGATGAAGTTCAGACGTTTGAGTGCATGTCCAAGCATGGCCAGGGGCCGCGTCTTCTTGGGCGATTTGCAGAGGGACGGGTTGAGGAGTTCATTCACGCTAGAGTATGTGAATTGCTATGTTTACCATTTCATATTTTCTTTTTTTTTTTAGTACGAGTTACTTTAACTAAGTCTTTAACTAATGATGTCTTTGGAATACTTTCACTAAATCCTCTATAATTGTCACTACTTTTCCTTAGTTTAATGGTTCAAAGTTAGTGGCATGATGACATTATATTGTGGTTGTAAACAATAAAAAAAGAATAAGGTCCAGTCTGCACTTTAGGACTGAATTGTCTAGTGCAAAGAGCATACAGGGTCTTGGCGGGATGGTCACTGTAATCTTGATCACTCTTTTAAAGTCGTACTTTAGCTTTTGGTGTATGATAAGGGTATCTGATGTCTTATATTGTTGTGAAAGGAAGAAGCCGTTAATCGCTTCATGTCATTTTTTATTAGTCAATTTTTGATAAGATTGTGATATGACTAGAAAAGCCTAAACTCGTTACACCAGAAATCATAGACTATTGAAACCCTGACACGTATGCATAAGTTTTGAGTGTTATATTTACCGAACCATTTGGATAAAATTGAACAGCCTATTTGCAGAATCTTATAGTTAAGCGAAAAAAATTTAAAGAACATGAGAGGCAATCAATCTTTAGGATCAAGATAGATGATAAAGATGTAATAGATTTTCTCCGGTTCTACCTTCCAATTACTGATTGTTTCAGCTGGACAACTTATGTATCATCTAATTTAAGTTGGACTTAAATGATCTAACATAAAAAAGGACGGACTGATTTGCTTTGGGATTTGATCCTCTATCATACCAAAATTGAACAAAGGCATGTTTGAGGTTCAGTGTAATCTCTTCATATAACCTGTTGCAGAAGATTTTTTATCATATCCATACGCTATTGTGTTTTTCAATTCTCAGACGCTATCAGCTGCTGACCTTCGTGATCCCGAAACATCTGCTATTATAGCAGCTAAGCTGAGAGAGTTCCACAATTTGGATATGCCTGGTCCAAGAAATGTAGTCCTTTGGGATAGAATGAGGTAATTTTATATTTTGAAATGTTAAAGCTTCCCTTTTGAGTATTCATGAATTTTTATGCAGTTTACGTATTTTCTCCAGGAACTGGCTCAATGAGGCAAAAAACTTGTGTTCGATAAAAGACATACAGGAATTCGGCTTGGATACTTTGGAAGAGGAAATTAGTATGTTAGAGAAAGAACTGTCACAGGACAATCAAGAAATTGGGTTCTGTCACAATGACCTGCAGTACGGGAACATAATGATGGATGAAGAGACCAGATTAATCACTCTAATTGTGAGTTCTTTACTTGGTTTCAACGAAACCATTTCATTGTCATTAACTGTTTCGCTGGTTTTGAAAATATTGCACTTTCTTTACTACTTTTCTTTCCTTCCACGTGATTCCACTTGTGACCTAGGATTGTTACTGAAGTCAAACACTTCAGTTTCTACAACCTGAATTTAATCATTTTGACATGGACAGTAGATAAGTTTTTCTTACTAACTTAACGGTGTCAACTTCTTGAGTAGTAGAAAACATTTTCTTAGTTAATAGTGTCAACTTGTTGAGTAGTAGAAAACATAGTCCAAGTCTATTTTAACAATAAATCCATCATTTTTCGATTTGAATCATGATGTCGATGCAATCAAGAAAATGCGTTCTTACTAGCTTTAGCCTGTTTAAGGAATGAGGGGTACTCGGATTTGGGATGATAACTAAGTAAATGACAGAGTTCTAAGCAGTAGTATTTCTGAATGTAACTCATGAAGCAATCGCTGAGAGTCAATTTTCTTGGCATTTCTTGCTTGCATGTAGAAGTTTATGCAAATTGTATAGCATCACATTCATTCAAGTATATTCACCGAGCATGATTCAAATTATCAGTCGTTGGATTTCCGGTTATATTCTTGCTAAAAATGTACATAAAGCAACGTTATACACATGTGTTGCAATGGTTATATTATGATTACGGATATGATTTTGTTATGTTTTCAGGATTATGAATATGCCAGTTACAATCCTGTCGCTTATGACCTTGCAAATCATTTCTGTGAAATGGTAGCAAACTACCACTCTGAGACACCTCACGTTTTGGACTACAGGAATTATCCAGGTAACTGTTAATCTGTTTGTGATTTGTCCTTCAGTGCATTTTCTCCTGCTTTAACCTTGAGAATTCAATCAAGTTGAAAACATGGAAATAATCATTTGGTATTTTTAATTCATTACAAATTATATATTTTGGTTTTCTCGACTGTTGAATCAGGTCTGGAGGAGCGCCAGAGATTTGTCCGTGCGTATCTGAGCTCTGCAGGTTAGCTTATTCATTTTCTGATTCCTCTGTTGATTTTGTGATATACATGTATCTGGGTAAACGGATATTGGTTGTTCCTACATTTAACTGTTTAAACGTACAAAGCTCGTTGGTTGTCAAGCTTTGTGTAAGGAAGATTTCTGCAAGATCTGGACGTGGTTATTGGTTTGTGTGCATGTTACTGCGCAGATTGTTCATGTTTGACGTTTAGCATTATTGACCGAAAAATAATTGAGCAAAGTTTGCTCATGTTTAATTTGAAAGCGTTGGTGATTCTCAACACACTTCGTCTCCAATATTCCTTATAGGTTGCGAACCCAGTGATGCTGAGGTCGAGCAGCTAGTTGAAATAACAGAGAAGTACACTTTGGCCAACCATCTCTTTTGGGGCTTATGGGGAATAATTTCGGTAAATCATTTCTACTTTTCCTTACACTGTTATTCGCAATAGCTTGCGCGTGTTTGTGTGAGTTGACTGCCTCTTTGTGTTTATAACATATTTACGTTTTCTGCCGGTTTCCAGGGTCATGTGAACAAAATTGATTTTGACTACACGGAGTATGCGAGGCAGAGGTTTCAGCAGTACTGGTTGAGGAAGCCGGCATTGTTGGGTTCTTCAGGTGATTCCCTGTAATTACACAACCAACAAGGATTTTATAGTATGCTGAAGACCATCTCCTTCGTGCTTAGTGATGTTACTTCATAAATATTATCGTAAGTGTGAAATAGTTATACAAATAAAGACGTGTGAGAGTTTTGTACCAAAAACAGAAAAGAAAAGGCGTGTGAGAAATAAATATGAAATGTAGCTGTAAATGGCATTGACGACCGACGGTTTCTTCTTCGTTTGTTAAGTTCTTGTACAAGTACTTATTAACTAAGAGTTGTTTGAGTGCCCTTATGAGCATTATTGTGTATGGTACCGGGGTGTTCTATGCCACCTCATTCTGTCGTCGATTCTCAACCCTTTTCGAACTGAGTGAAAACTAACTAAACATATGTTCTTATGAAGATGGCATTCACTAAAACTTAAGCCATCTTCGGAAATTTTCGGAAAGTTTTAAGTGGTTTCGTACTTGCTTGTTTTTCTGCAGTGTTGTTGTCGTGGACCTTCTTCTGTTCAATCTGATAGTTTTCCTTTCTTTTATGTAAATGTTAATAATTGAAACATTGCAAAACGTCGGGTTCGAAATTTGGTGCGTAGCTACAATACTCCGGCCTTCAAAGCTCAACCTAACACGTTACGAGTTCAAATTTTCATCTCTTTTTAGTGTAGTTTAGAGTAGGAACTAGTCTTTCACAGTGGGCCGAAAAAAGTGAATATGATACTAATATATTGAACTCATATAGGAATTACTTCTACAGTTGGTCATAAATTTGACTGTGATACTAATATATAAAACTCATATGTACTGATGACTGTGGTGTCAACATATTGAACTCACATTAGTGTAGTAGTAGTATTATAGATATTAAACTCAAGTTACTGATTTCTATATACAGTTATTATGCTCACTCAAACTACGGCTTTTAGATCTAATCTATTATTGCTTTGAAGATTAACATTTGGTTTGCTTTAACTTGTCTGGATGTCATTTCAAGTGTTGATACTTATTCCTTGTCGCCCTTTGATGGGAACTCAACTCAGGGTGGGGAAGGTTTGGTGTGATGGCTAAAAGGTCTTTATCAGCATGTGGTGACTAGTGCTCTGTACAATTATTGAGATACAAACCCCACAAGAATTGAAACAAATTACTTAACCATAATTAAAATAAGAGAAATTTAATTGAGTAGGAGTTGAAATAAGTAGTTGGAATCATATTCTTATTAAAATTGTTTACTTAAGAATGAAACTGAATTTATATAAATTGTTTACTAGTTCATCTGAATTGGAATAGAAATGAATGATGATTACTATAATACCCTTATTCTAAATAGCATATTTATATGCTAATTAATTGGATAACTTCAAATTAATATGTCATTAAAAATATTATTTGGAACATAATAAAACCTTAATAGTAATTACCCTATAAGCATTAATTATTTGTTATTTTCTTAATCCCTATGTTTATTAAAGAAACATGAAATTCAAGAAACACAACACAGCAAAAGGTCCTTTTGCTAGCAGTGGATGGTGGTGGCCGGCAAAACTGAAATTATAGTAAATATCTAAGGCCATAACGGATAAGAACAATTAATTCTGATTCTTCTATATCTGGAAAATTGAATTACCACCTCCAATTAAGTAGTCAAATTCCTTCAAAATGAAAATTTGAAATCCTTATTTTGTATGGGTCCCACCTTACTTTTTATTCACTGAACTTTAGTAAACAAAGATAGATTTCGTAATCAGAATCCAATTCTGTATTTTGATTCCAATCATGGTTTCGTAAACACGGCATCAATATATTTAGTCACAAAGAAAAATTATGTTGAACTTAAATTCAGAGAAAATTAAATTTTAAGAACTACAATCATATATTCAGTATATTTAATCAGAATTCAGAAAATAAATTCTGCAACTCTACATAAACAAAAATCAGAAATATACATAAATACAACCTTTTACAAATCTTCAATAAAAATACAGTTTTTCACTAAACAAACAATAACGGGGCACTAAAGGGACACTAAAACGTGTTTTATGCCTGTATAAAGCCCCATATGCAAGGCAAAGTCTGATCCTTTCCATCCCTTTGTTAATAAATTTACCCATAAAAGTTTCCAGCAAGACTTCACAGTATGCGTTTTTCGAATTAAACTTATGCGGAGGTCCCAGATAACCTACTTAGAGTGTCATAAATGGAGTCGATTTCAGTATGAGACCGGCTTGTTGCTGCAAACAAAAGGTGTTTAGGTGCTTCTGCTCTATCGAAATAAAATGCTCCCGATACAAGTTTTTCTTTTGGCTGTAAAGCCAACCAAATTACGGTGTCTGCACCTTGCTCGTTCGTTCTAAGCTTTCCCGATAGACTAAAACAAATTTAGAAGAAAAATGGAAGATTAGATATAAAGCAGAAGAAAATAGATCGCAGATACAAATAAGAGATGGAAAATGTTAAAGATTACGTACGCTTTAGAGAAACTTGGCAAACTCTTGGCAACCCCCGGTGTCTCAGCCCAACCTGGGTGCATTGAGTAGAATCCAATCCCCTTGTTTTTGTTTGTATCAGCCCATTTCTCTGTTAACGCCACCTGAATAAGAACAATGTTAGCTCCAGAAATAGCTGAAAAAGTTCTTACTCGAAGTGACGAACAGCTCGCATCCACACATATAAGCTTTTGTTAATTAAGCATTTATACTTATCTGGGAACCTAGTAGTGCACCTCTTAAGCCCAAATATCATATCCCAGGGATAAAAAAAAAAAAGGAAAGGCAGTTGTTTCCTTTCCCTTTCTTTTATCATTTGCTGAGTAAAAGTACTTCGTAATTGTAGATTATATACAAACATAATCAAAACTATCATCTGGTATTTCTTAGTGTTAACAACATTCCATGATAGTGTCAACAGTGAATCTACCAAATTACTAGCACTGAAACTTCTTAGGAGAAACCAGAAGGAATGTCTGTAAATTTCCTCAACTTAAGATGTAACTACCAAATCCAAACGAAATCATTGCTACCAAAATCAAGAGCTACCATTTGTTATATCAACTCCGTCTAATATGTTGGAAGAGAACTCAGGCTTAGGTTCAGAGCACACTGCATTCTGATTCATGTTATGTGGCATATGTATCAGAAATTTTTGTGCAAAAAGAAGTTTTAAGAACTTGCTCGGTTGAATGCATTAGTTTTCCTCCGCTTAAATTCAGTAGAAATAATCGAATCACAGTATTCAGATCATCCTTCTTGGCATCTTCTGAAACATATCATAAAGAGGATAAAAATTCACTAAAATAAAGCAAATATATTATCTCTTAAGGGGATCAAACCTGAACTCTCTTGTTTCGACCATATTGTTCCACGCCATTAAAGTTCCCATCACTAAACTGCATTAGACATATATTTTGGAACTTGATGAGCATTGGACAAATCGAGTGTAACGTTACGAACAGAATATCATAGAAGCAATTACCTGTAAATCCTTGGTCAATGGTGTAGTGTACATTCCACCAGAGGAAACAGTAATAACACGGGCATCAGGTGTAGCTTTCTCCAGCAATGGCAACATCAATTCCGTCATGGCATAGGTGCCTAATACATTCACAGCAAAGTTCAACTCAAACCTGGCATTTGAAAGAAAAAGACTTAAAATTTTATCTAGAGAAAAAGGATAGAATATCTAAACAAAACTGTGTACAGAGGTAATCGAGAACACACCCCTCTGATGTGGTAACTCTATTATGCTCAAGCAAACCAGCATTGTTCACCTAAAGGCAGCAGGATATTTCTCAAAATCAAACAGACAGTGACATGACAAGAAAGCCACCAAATTGCAAACAAATTTGATTCGTTTTAAATTAATTCACAATGCCAGAAATCAGACAAAAACTTCAACAGATGATAACAAAATAATATATATATATATATATATATATATATTATATACTGGTTTAAAATTAACAAGATCCCGGCACATTTAACTGCAATATTAGGTTCCCAGAATATCAGAATGGATATTTACCAATACGTGAACTGGCATGTTCTTTGTGGAAAACTTGGACGCAAATGACTTGATATCACTAACAGATGATAGATCACAGACCTGCAAATTAAAACCATATTAAAACATTTACAATCAAAACAAGACATTCATAAAGATCACAAAGATCATTACTCAGTGAACTAGTATATAATTTGATAACGTATAACAATAACCGCCTGGGATGTAACATTGGGTCATTGACCACTAAAATACGTGAAAGGAACCCATGTAAATAAGTAAAACAATTAAAAAAAAAAAAAAAAGGATGCCATATACCTCCAAATGAACATTTTGGTTTCCTGTATCAGTTTGGATTTTAGACTGTGCAGCTTCACCCCTCTCCTTATTCCGACAAACCATATAGACAGTTGCGCCGCTGAAAAATCATAAGACAATAAACAAACGAAAATTAAAGGAAAAAAAAAAAAAAAAAACAATAGCAACTACGTTTCTAGCAACTGAAGTTAAGTCTCAAATAACAACTAGCCCACAAATAAAGCAAGAAAAGCACCGAGATGCAAGTCCCTCGGCAGTTGCATAACCAATGCCTGAATTAGCTCCTGTTACAATGCAATTTTTCCCTTCTATCCGTGCTTGCATATCCTCTGACTGGAATTTCTTTGAATGTTCTCTGCAAGGATTTTACATCAATTACAACAAGTAAAAAAGCGCAACGAGACTTCTTCCATAAACTTTATTCTTGTGAACACAACAGCAACATTTCGGAAGGAAGAAATAGGACAGATAACGGATTTAACAAACGCATCGTTCTAGCATACAGATACACAGAGTATTTGAACCTCATATTGTCGATCCGGTCCCTTAAGATTTCTAGAAAATAAAAGAAATACAAATTTATGCACTTAAAAAAGCCATTGTTGGGATGATTAAGTTCATCAACAAATTTCCAAAACCCCAATTTATATCATGAAAAGAAGAGGTGATAGAAATTAAGCATCCACCGTGGGAAAAGTCATATGCTTTGCTTCCTATCAGTTGAAGAGTATATCTTTCTGAATACATAAATACAGCATTTACTTGCAAAATTATGATTTAATATCCCAATTGAAAATTACAGGGATTGGAAGATTACATGAAACCAGACTTGGTGAAATTCAGGTACCCATAAACTCCAAAAGCTGTTTGTCTCCATGCCTGTAAAATACAGATAAATAAAATTATAGGCTTATGAAGTCAAGAGAAAGAACAAAAGATCAAGGGAGGGAGGGAGTACCTTGAGAAGAAACATTGCAAGAGCTTCAATGGATAAGTGAATTTCAAGTCTGACACTTAGATTCGTTGGACTCTCCCTCTCCAACTCTTCCATGCCTTTTTATCGTTTTTTAACATTTCGGTCAAGTGATGCTGCCAATGCGGGTATAGCCGTCTACTAATTAAAGTCACAGTTAACGGTTTGCCCTTGTGCCACGTAGCGGCAAACAGATTATCACTTAATTGATGAACACGTTCAACGATGGAACAATAAAATGACTATCGCTTAATTTAACGGTTATATAGTTACGAATTTGAATGGTGTTTGGTAGATATGATACTTGAACGAATGTTTAAAAAATAAATGGTTAAGTCATTAAAATATATTACGAAGTAGACCTTACAAAATGTGGATTAGTAGTAACATGTGTCAATGTCACGATGTACTAGAAAAACTAATTAGGTGGTGTTAAGGTATTAAACCATCACATGTGATAAATTTGTTTATAAATAATCTAAATAAGTCTCATGAAGTACGTATAATAATCATACAGTGTATATCATATTCACACATCCAATCGTGACACATGTGCATATCATATTCACACATTCAAAATAAATTTAGCCAACACATTCAAAAGAATTAAGTGCTCATTGTTGCTCAAGTGACCCTTAGATCAGTCAGTAGTACCATTAAACGTTTAATCCGAAGACGATCCATTTATTAAATTAGTAAGGAATTTCAAATTTGAATACAAATCCATTTATTAAACGAATAATAACTCACCACGTGTAATGTGTATAGGAATGAAATAGGATGAATTTTTATTTAGTGTAAACTATTAACCCATTTAAGATTTATTTTTATTTTGGTCACCCGCTAATCCAAAAATGCATGATCATTTATCTTTGAATTTTATATCACGAGTGAAAAATAAATAAATGTACTTTTAAATATTTTAATCTGGACACTTGCTATTAAGCTCAAAAAAGAAAAATGATAACCGTGAATTCATAGTCACTGAGTAACAAAGAGACCTAAAATAGTCCCTACATAATTGTTAGTTCAGTTTCATATCTTGAATATATTTTGAGGATTTCTATGAGCTCGTTTGGATGTACTTTTAAAATTACCAAACGCTTTTAGAAAAAATGTTTTTTGGTTCCAAAAGCACTTAAAATGCTTTCTGGAATAAGCACAAGTTATGTATTTCTTTCATGAAGCACTTTACGAGCTTTTCCAAAATTTACTTGCATTTTTACTAAGAATTGGTTTCAAAAACATTTTCATCAAAAACGTTTTTATTCATTTCAAAAGTACATCCAAACGAACTCTATATTTCCATGAGTGGTATGAGTGGCGATTCACCATTTTCATTTTGTGAGCCACTTGAGGAATGGAAAGAATATAAAAGGAGTAAACGATGCAATCAAACTTTATTTTTTACTATCAGAAATTGAAACTTTGTACTAAGATATATATATATATATATATATATATATATATATATATATATATAATCTCTATATACACACACATTGATGATACACATGTATAAATATACAACTTCACTGTACAAACCATATTCTCTACGACTCGTCTCGACTCCGACTCCGTTCCGTCTCGACTCTGACTCAACTCGACTCAACTAATAAGCCCTCAGACCAATGCGCAAAATCCCCTATGACATACACACTCCAACTTCAAATGACCGTTCGTTATAAATGTAAACGTAAAACATTTCACGAGTTTTACGTACTCCCAACTACCACATTTCCGCATCCGTTAACGCTCCCAATCGGAAATATCCTGCATCAGGAAGCATGTTTAGCAAGTATGAATGGAATCACATGATTTAAGGTAAACATAAAACAAAACCGTATTACAAGACGACTTGTGGGGAAGCCGCAAGGACAATTGACCATTTGGGTAATAAATTGAATTTTGGGGCCGAAAAAAGGAGGTATTTTTAGAATGTAGTATGCACACATCACGTATTTTAACTTGGGAGTCAGCGACATAAACAAAATGATAGTTGTCCCTCGATCTCGTACACAAAGTGGCAATGAGGATTTTCTTAGCCGTAGAGATACCAAAGTAGACACAAGGCACGGAGCCAAAAACTTCAAGAATGTAACTTGGATCATTTCCAATTGAGAAAACACATCTATCAACAGAAAGCAAGGAAAAAGCCCGTTGCCGGAACTAGGTAGGGTGACAGATTAAACCTATGCCATTAACTTTCCCTAGTAACAGTAGAATTCAGAAATTCAGGCAAGATATTAATCAAATCAAATGCCCTAGGAAAGTACTCACCTGTCCCAATTTTAAGCAGTTCTCTCCAAAATCAATACCCACATCCATTACAGCGTCCTCATTTTCAATCTCGGCATCAGTGAACGTGAGGGCCCGTTGTAGCTTCCTAGGAGAAAACACCTCGACCTCAACTGCATATGTGGCAGTCACTGGCCGATGATCAGAAAGTCTAATTTCAGCCCTTCTATAACTCAGTAACCTCATTCCTCGTCCATATGAAAGAATACGGTCACACCTGAGAAATACAGTCACACTATGGTCAATTCTGTTCAAATAACCGATAAAAATAGAAGAAACACCTTATATTGCAACGACCATGAAAAAAATAATTCAAACACTTATTAAGATTCGAAACAAAAAAGAATTCATGAAGAGGATATGAAACTTCCAACTTTCATGGGTAATGAAATAAGTAATAATTTCAATATTTAAATGAGCTCTACAGAACTATCAGAATCCATGTGAGACCTCGCATTTACTCATTATATATGTTTCGATTTTAAGAAACAAGCTATTCAACAGAAACCTACCACCCATAGGTCAAAATCTTAGAACAAACCAAAACTTTGAAGATCTTTACCTATTACCCTAGCAATAAAACAAATTAGCATAATACCAAAGCACCATTTACAGGGCAAATCCACATAAGATGTTACAAGCTGGTTATGGGGTAAGTACAAATATAAAAGATACATAATCCATTTCTTAATCTCCATACATAATTAGGGGTGTTCAACATCGAAATTTGTCTTCTGTAGTTGTAATAGATTACCATTTTTTTGGCAGTCATCAAAGCTTATGAATGTCGAACGTCATTAAACTTCTTTAAAGATACTAAAGATACTATGAAACTTCTTTAATATAAATAGCCATAGGAAACAAATGTCGAATGTCATTTCACTCTCTTTGGTTGACAAAGAAGGTTCCTTAAATATAGTATAAATTATAACACCTATATTACGATTAGTGGAGAATCATACCAAAAAAATCAAAATCAGCCTTAACAAGAGTGGTTGACACGTCTTGTGCAAAGCAGTCGTCGAAACAAAACAAGTAAAAAAGTACTCCGCCAAATAAAAATGCAGAAACAGAGATGAACAGAGGCCTACCATGCTGGAGTGCGCCTCCCAGTCTTTACATCCTCCCCGCAGTACTTCTCTGAATTGGTCTCATACTTATACGTCGGTGGAAAATTAAGAACACCCTCTGACCATCCATCAAATGCACGGCCTTTTTTAAATTGTTTTGCAAGCTGTCAAGATAAACATACTGTGCTTAATAGCTAAGTTTGGAATCCCGCTTAACTTCACTGAAAGTCTAAAGTTCAATCAACTACTCAAAAATTTCAGTGGATCAATCTCAAAAATGTCCCATCCCCAATTTGCAGTCAAGTGATTAGAATTTATTTAAAGTAGATATTCTGTACATTAAAGCACACAATTCTTTTAATGGAACAAATGAACCATCATTCATACACATTTGGGTTATATGATTTAAGACACTCAACTTACTGGCTTCAGATTTTCAATCTCCATAATTCTAAAAATTTACAGGTGCAGACTAACTTAAGATAGTCTCTCTTGTTACATATTGCATCTTACAAAATCTATAATCTAAATACATTATCTAAAAGAACCAACATTTATATATTTATGTGTCATCTAAGAGGCCCAACTTCCTCTGTTGGTTCAACCTCTCATTGTCATAAAGATTGACCTAGAATCGGTAAGCATGAATTAGTGAGCTACAAAAGCGGGATACAAACATCGGTTCAAATCCTTAGTAAATCAAATGGAAGTTCAAGATAGTCAGGGACAAGAACACAGATGCATAGAGTGGAACTAGATAGACATAAATAAAAAAATAATTTCAGAGAAGCAAACTGTCTTAAGAAAATTAAAAAGACATACCTGGTCTTTCTCAGCCAACTTCGACCAGTCCTTTTTGGAGATAAAGTCTCGTGTTTTCTCATATGACAAGTTAAGACGATAATTTAGATCACCCAACCAGATTATTCTTCTGTAGGAAAAGGAAATACTTTCACTGTTATTAAAACACTGTAAATTGAAGTCATAATATTGTTGAAGGTGAAACTAATTTTTCACATCCGTTAAAAGTAGAATGTGGATTAGCCAAGATTAGCAACTTCCTATATCAGATTGATACATAACTTACATAGTTAATAATTTTCCTGACATGAGATGGTAGGATATAGGAAAACCTCTAGTTGGAGACTATTACATCAAATAATGTTACTGTTATAACTGAATAAAAAGTGACCAGAGAATAGTCAATATCATGCAACTATCTTTCATTACGATTTCCAAAATTTCCTACACCATAATTATTCAAAGTCAATGTTGTGCAAAGCGCAAACATTTCTCTCTTTACAAGTATAATAATTTCTGCAGCATAATTTAATGATTCATGAGATAATTTCATCCAGAAAAGATTTCAATTAAGAGGATGAAAAAAGAAAAACAAATACGAAAAGATATTCTCTCCGAAGATTCGAAGAAAGCATATTGTAATTTAGCTGCAGTGTACTTACTCATGGTCATAGATAGTTTTGGGAAACCCCACACCAGGAAACGAATGAAACTGACTTCTCCGATGTATTTCATTCACATCAGCATTTCTTTTTATTTCATCTGCCTCTTTCTCCCCTGCTGTCAGGTGTGTGCACACAAAACAAAAAAGCGTCTGATACACAGACATGCTGACAGATATAGATCCCTGAAAAAATGAAAAACTGCCTAAGAATCAAATAAACGATAAGAAAACAAATCCAACAATTATTAAATTTACTTCATAAGGTCACTTTCTAATGTAGAATATGAAGGCATTGGATTATTTTCAAAAATTTCTACTACTTTCTTCCTTATTTGAGCAAATCAACGAGCAGGTATATGATGAAAAGAAGTTTATGATATAGCCATAGAACAAGGGTGGTGGAGATACTGGGAGCATTCGAAGAGCAGGAATACGAGGAGAGATACAATAAATAATGAAGGTATACTATAAATTCTAAGAAAAAGGTTGCAACAGTACAAATTAATGGGAGAGAGAGTTGTTCGAATTAGTTTTGATCACATGTAATATGAAGTCATCTGTTAGAAAAGTGTATTGCTTCAACGAGCAAAGAAAATTTTCAAAGAAGGAAAATATAATAGAGATGGATCATATGGAGTAAAGAGATCTTGAAGGACCTACAAAAATGGACCCTTCAATAGAGCCTCAAAATTAGATGAGTTGGAAATTTCAACGCGTATGAACACTGAAAGGATCGTCCAGTGAAGTGGCAAAAAAGTGTTGCAGCGACACCAGAATATGGGCAAGCCTTATCATGGAAGCAACAAACATCTTAAACGTTAAACCTTAGTAGACCTAGTAATGATTAATCAACAGAAAATGCGCATTTGATTTCCAAGTTAGATAAACGGATCCACTCTATTGCTCATCCATAGCTGAACAATATAGACAGACATCAATAGTATATTACAGGCGGAAGCAAAGTGAGGAAACTATAAAATTGCTCTAATGTTTACCAATGGCTTGTACAAGTTATCAGCTATGTGTAAAAATGTGTCATAAGATCCGTTCACAAAATTATGTTAGCAGAAAGAAAGAAATTGTTAAGACTATCGTATAGTTACTGACAAAGACAAGAAGCATATATGTTAGTATACCACCAGTAACAACACTAAATGTGATGACAAAGAATTTACAAAAACAGAGATAGGAATTTATAGAAAAGAAACAAACCTTGTTACCAATGTATCCCATAACACCAACACCAACAGTAGACACTTTAACGTTCTGAATATGTTTACGCAAGCTCCTACGAACCCATACAGTTAGGAAAATCCCAACCATCTGTTTGCTTACAATCCTTACATACGATGACCTTCTTTTTCGTTTCATGAGAGATTCAAGATCAACCTCTGCAAGCAATGCTATTTCTGATGGCATGTCATTCACAGCTGACTTGAAAGAATTGTATGTTCTGAAAGATTTTGAGGATTTGAAGGACTTCATTGTTCGAAAGGAATTCTGTCTTCCTAGTGAATTCTGAGATAGCAAGTTTAATGGAGGCTCTGGCCAGCTCAAACCAATCCTTTCAGATCCACTAAGCATTCTGGTTAACTTGCCATTAAATTGGACTCCAGAAGTTGCTTCATCATCTAATGAACAATCATCTGTCCGAAGGCAATATAACCTATCCAATCTCTTTGCAGAATAACTTTGCCTCTGTAAATCCTGTCCGGTTGCCATGCCTGGTTTACTATTATCTGTGAATTCTGGAACTTGAGCGCCAATATTCACTACTTCATTTGTGACTGATATACCCTTGCTGTCACCAGAATTTATGGTTTCATCATCCAACGGATGGACTTCTTCCCCAATATCATCATCACTTTCAAGTAGGCTCTCCTCTTCAATATCAGGGACATCATCAGCTGGCTTAAACTTTGATGGAGATGGAGGATCACTAAAAGATTTAACCTTGCTCGTCGCAGGTCGAACTCTGTCCAGTGTTTCACGAATAATGTTTTCCCATTTAGTAATTGGGCGGCTATCTTCGGCGCCAAAGATATTCCCGGCATTCAACGCAACAATCTCCTGAAGACTGAAAACAAAAACAAAAAAGTTCACACTTCTAAGATTAACTCTTGACCACGAACAATAGATTCAGATAAAACAGATCAAAGTGGTGGGGGGTATTAAAGAGGACAGAAAGTTTCAATCGTACACAAAAAATAATAGCGGACATGAAGGACAAATATGATACATACAAAATCAGTATTTTCGGTAGCATTTGTTTATCTATATAATTATTGTATTTGCAGTAGCAGTATCGTTCACTTGATTAACAGATCCTGACAGAAACAGCATAAGATCCCTAAATGAAAAGTCAGTGAATCAAAAAAAATGGGAGGAGAAACGCTTACCCAATCACATAGAAATCAGCTGGCTCATTGACATCTAACCAACCATCAACATCCAGGTCATCGGGTGGAATTTGTCCTCCAACATTCCATGTCGTAGCACATACTCTGGAAACACCAAAAGTAAGAAAGATAGGAAGTTAAATGGCTAGTCTAACAAACCACCACCTATTCAGTAATTGTAGTGAATTATATGCTTTACTTTAACGTCACAAAAAAACGATGGGCATCAACCTGAATTCCTTTGCGTTTATATACTGTGCCCTAAAAGTCTCTGACTTTCGTCTTCGTGCCCTTGGAAGATCGTCTACATAACCAGAAAGACAAGAACCAAAGTACAGTCATGAAAATAATTAGCGAAAAACAGTATACTGGAACCAGGATATCCCATGGCACAAATAAAAAATATAAGGCACCAGAAACTCAAATCAGAAGTTCGAACACTGGAAATGCATACGAGCTTTGAGACTAAACAATGTTACAAAATGTCCAAAAGACATTGATCAAACATCAGAATCATATTATTCACTTCCATCTTCGGTGCAAACCTTTAGGCTCAGAACAAAATAGTGAAATCTTATCTCAAACAGATGCTAAGAACCGTGTTTTGGGTCTTCAATAATCATCAAAAGGCGCAAAAAAAAAAAAAAAGCGAAAAACTCGAGGACTGTGGAAAATTGATATTAAGTAGAACGGAGAATAGAATGTGGTTAAAGCATATATTACCAGTAGCATCATCTCTCTCAGATTCATCTTCCTTGATGCCTGTAAACCTCAAATCTCTTGCCCGTTGATTAAACTCTGCAAAGCCCATTTTACAGTCAGCCTAAAACCCCAAAAGGTGAAAACTAAAAACACAAAATTGAGCTCAAATTCCACAAGAAATATAGTCAAATTCCCATAATATTCAAAAAGACAATAATAATCATACAAAAAATCCATTTTCCAGATTCCAATTGAAACACAAACGCATCATCAGAAAATCAAAAAATTGTCTGTACTGGGTTGAAAGAGAAGAAGAAGAAGAAAGGGCACCAACCTTGGGTGTCGGAGTCGGCGTCACAGTCGTCTTCGTCGGTGTCGGCACTGTAATCGGACTCTTGGGCGGAGATGTTGAGCCACTTGCGCATGACGACTCTGGGCCAGAAGACCTGTGCGCACGACCAATAATCCAAACAACACATAAGCTCAGCCCAACTCCTCTGCACATTCCTCTCATTTTTTCCCATAATTAACACCCAACTTAAAACAAAACAAAACACAACGTTCCCTCTTCTCCTATTTAAATAACAATATAAATATATATATATATATATATATATATATATTGTGTGTATCTATATTTGGTGAGAGAGAATACCTGTTGTGGGTTCTTGGAGTGGGGCTTCATCTCTGGATGTGAATGCATGGTCGAAGACCATAACAATTAACAAGAAGAAGAAGAAAAACAATGAAGTATTTAGGCTTGAAGGAATTTAAAATTGCTCAAAATTCTGTTTTTTTTAGTAAGCAGAATTGTGAAAACAGAACAGATAATCGTAGATGAAGAACAAGACTAATCTAGTAATATATAAATTTTTGTTTGGTAATAATGGTGGGATGGTGGTTAACAGGTTAAGACGAGAGCAGTCTTGGTAGCAATGGTGGTTGGAGTAGTGGCAGCAGTGGCAGTAGTGGCAACAGTGGTGACAATAGAGGTGTTAGCAGTAGTGGGATATAGGATGTGGCAATAGAAGGGAAGCGAGTAATGATGGAGAGAGTGGTTGCGGTGGTGGCGGCAGTGGTTACGATTGTTGCAGAGGATGGTTGTGTTAACAATGGTTGTGTGGGATGGTTGTGAAAATGGGGGTTGAGAGATGGGGATCATGGCGGCGGAGATGGTGGACGCGGTGGTACCATGATGAGAATAATGGGGTGGAGAATTTGGTGATGGTAGTGGTGATCATGGTGGCGGTGGTGCAGGTGGTGGTCATGATAAGACGGTGGAGGTGGTGGTGGCCATAGTGGCGCGTTAGTCAATGGCTGTGGAGAATATGGTAGTGGTGAAGATGGAGGCGGGAGGTGATGATGTCAAAAATGGTGGCGGTGGTGGTGAGGAGGATGATGATGGCGGTGGAGGTGGTTGTGCTGGGGTAATGATGATGGTAGCGGTGGCATAGCGATTTTTTTTTTTGCTTAAAACTACAACTTGTGTTTTATAATGTATCTTTTATTTTTTATTATTTTAAAAATTGTTCTTGAAATGAAGAAAAAACATCAATTTGATGTTCTACGAACTAAAACTAAATATTATTTTCTGCGTTTTTCGTTTTATGAGTTTGTGTTCTTAAAATAGTGTGCCGAACCCATATTTCATTTATTTTTAATCTGCAAAACGAAAAAGTGTATTGCAATCGTTAACAAGCTGACCTAAATTTCCACGATTGGACTCCCAAGTTTTTGTATTTGAAAGAATTACCAAGCACCGCGGCCTGCATTTGTCAACCATCTTTACTTAGAGTATGCATTCTATTCCTGAATGCCTAAATACTGAGGAATACAAATAATGATTACCATGCACTGCGGTCTGTATGTGTTAACATGTTTTATCTTGAAAGTGTAGCCAAACCTATATAATTACATGCACAACTGCTAACTAGATTCTAACTAATATTACGGTTTAGCAGTATTTTTTTTCAATTGTAAATAAGATGTATCATATCAGACTTTCTAATTAACCTGTCTTAGTTACTGATTGTGTTTTTCGCCACCTCACAATTGCGTCACTAATGCCAATAACTAGTAATGTTATTTTGTGCAGTGAAACCATATCAGCACTAGAATTTAACAAGAACAAGAACAAAGTGGGATTGTGAGAGCAGAGAGACAGCAAATGGTAGAAAAGACCCATCACATTTCATTCCACCCCAATTGGATGGCCATCCAAATCCAATATCCATTGGTTTCGTTGTGGCCTCTCCATTTGTCGGAATCTACTAATTTCTTGGTGTTTTGGTTTAGCATATTAAGCTGTGCACCATGATTTGACCCCAAAGAAACAAGAACGACTATTCTGGTGGCTAAGTCAGCCGTCAATCTCAATCCGCCTGGATTCCAAAATGAAACGATGAAAATGTACACCTAAAACTGTGTTCAGTTTCGCTTCCTGATATTATTTATCTTAAAAACATATCGATAATTCGTGTGTTGATTGAAAGATTGAAAAAGATTTCCACAGAATCTTCATCGCTCAAACTTCTCCTGCATTTTGTCGTCAAGCAAATGGGGTCGCAACTGACTCACTACTTTTGGGTTGTACACTTTCATCGCTTAACTTTATTCTGATGTTTTTGTTTGAGGGTCTGCGTCACTTTTATTTCAATTTTTTTTTTGTGCGGGATTTGTGGTGGAGGGGGATGATCTAGTCCAACTCCTTGACTTCCTCCTCTTCTTTTAGGAGATGAGCATTATTCTTATTCTGTAACTATTAACCCAAATCATAAAGCTTTGAATGATGCTTGGCTCCTAAAAGAAGAGGAGAAAGTCCTCTTGAAAATCCAATTATAAATGAATACGTGTTCGAACAATTAAAAAAATTATAAACTATGAGAAAAAACACCACTATCCGCATTAACCAGTCCAAGAACCAAGGCTCTACAATTTCGGCGTTGGCACCTCTGTCGAGAGAGGTGGGTGAGGTTGACGAAGAGCAGTGATGTGGGGAGGTCGGAGAAGGGTGTTTGCGTGGGAGGTCGAATATTTGTGGGTGGGCGTTCTTTTGCCGATCGTCAATTTTTAGTTCCAAGTTTTCTAGTTTTCAATTGTTTAGACATGTATCCATTTGCGATAGGTTCACTCGTTCATTTCAGTCAGACTTTTTCCTCGAAGAGCCAAGCATTATTCTTTTTTTTTTTTAACGCTAACAAGACCACATATTTATGTTACAATTTTGTACTATCTTATGTGACAAGTGACGTATATAAACTACATACAATCAAATAAATTATTAATAGACGGTGACAACATGTACACATCAGTGACACATGAAATTGTATACCAATTTGGTACGAACATGTGATTTCTCTAATTTTTTTATTTTTTATTTTTGATACCAATGATATATACACAAAATTATTTTTAAAAAGCATAAGAAATAATACTCCACGAGTCCTAAGATCATCTTCAACCCTCGGGCTAAAAACCAAATTTTTTAGCCGAAAAATTTAGATTTTAGCTCAGAAATAGCTTTTCTACTCCAACCCTTCTGGCCTAAAATTTTAGCCCGGGATTATTAAAAGAATGAACTTAGGCTAATTTTTTTTCTTAAATTAATTTTTTTTTAATTATGTAGACTATAGTAACTTAATTTTATGAACATTTTAATCTAAAAATATTTAAATTCTGATAAATATTGAAAAATCACTAAATCGATACATGAAACTCATGAAACACTATGGAAGAATATGAAAATCATGATAAAGATGTATAAACACAAAATACATAAAACACAAAAGACACACAAAACGCATGTGAAGCACATACAAAACACATTTGAAGCACGTACACATGTGAAGGACATACAAAACACATGATAGAGTGATAGAGATGAAGCACACACATAACACATGTGAAACACATGACACACATGATCGTAAACACTACCACCGTCCCTCCCGTCGCTGTTGCAGTTTTCATGAAACTTTTCAATGATTTTATCCCACAAAACCTTTTTATTTTGATTTGTAACAACTGCACCATCTTCGCTAATAGAAACTCATGTCAAGCATGAAGCAACATCTTCCTCACAGGTTCAATTACGACCTCTAATATGCTCTCTTGCCATGTTGAACAATTTGGAAATGGTAGAAAGAAAAATTGAAAGAATTGTAGGAGAAAATTGAGTTTTGTATGGATGTTTGAACAAATACATAGGTATTTATAGAGTTTTTGGATGAATTTTGAGTTAAAATAATTTTTTTGATTATTTTAGCCGTTGGATTTAAATTTGGGCCGCTAGATTTGATTATATTCGATCTCAGTTATTGGATTCAATGTATTTTAAAATTACATTTGAAAAAAAAAAAAAAAAAGCAAAATTTGAATCTGGACCGTTGGATCAACCAACGGTCTATAAAGCCCAGTCGTAGGATGCAGAAAAGAGCCGTTAGGCTCTGGTTGGTGGCGGACAGCGGCCCTGACAATTGGCCTCCCCTGTTAGGCGCTGAAGCCAAACGGCCCGCGTGGGGCGAGTCCACGCTTTTGTGGGCTATTTCTTGGGGGGGTGTATTTGGCTGAGGTTTGGTATTTGACTTGGGATGGTATTTGGCCTTGATTTGGTATTTGACTTTTAGCCTAAAAATTTGGTTTGGGTTGGATTGGGTTTTGGGAGCCGGATTTGGCGTTGGTTTGGTATTTGGCTTGGGTTGATTTTTTTTTTGGGGGGGGTGCTGTGGTGGTGGGGCGGGAGGCAGCACAACTACATTTGTAGACACACAGGCAGTTTCCTCATCAGTTATTCATGTGGACAGGGACACCTACGGTCAAGCACAATGTACAAGAAGGTAAAAATCATCCGGCACTCTGCCAAAAGTAAAAGGGACCACATCATCTTATCCTCACAGAAAAAGTAAAAGGTGTGATTTTTCATGAGGTCCATAATCATGTGGTTAGAACTTAGACACCTCATACCAACTCTCCAAAATTATGTCACGTAACACATGCATGCTCAGTTATTCTAGACGAGCTACTTACAATAAATTTAGTATTGAATTCTTCATTAATATAGTTGAAATTTTGTATCTAATTGATTGCATAATCATTTAGTAATACGATATAAGAGTATTTTTTTAACTTATAAGTGCGAGATTTTAAGATTTTTTTTGTGTATGGCAGTTTGATACTAAATTATTAGGACTAATCCAAGATTTATTTCAATCTAAACTTTTCATCTCTTAGTGTAGATATATATATTTTTCTTGTTCAAATATAAATATTAGAATTAATATTTTTATAAAGAAAATCATTAATAATACCTAGTATAAGAATAGGCTCAAATGAAAAAATAATTTATGTGTTTTATTTTATTAGTTAATTCGATCCATATGTTTTCAGTTTGGCCAAATTGATCACAGTGTTTAACTTCATTTGTCTAAGATTTGTTAAAGGCCTGTTAAAATTGATATGTGTTATGCACGTGAGAAGATAGAAATATAACTTCTTCTTTTTTGTCAAAAACAGAAATATTACTTCACTATAAACCCATTAGAATCGACGCAAGATCAAATGATCAACGATGCCCATCTCTTGTGCAAGGCACGTGTCAATTTTGAGGGTCATTTAACAGATTGTCTATAATTGACTAACAGAGTTAAAGACGGAAATCAATTTGGGCAAATTGAAAACAGATCAAAGATCCGAAGATTCAATGAAGCCTCCCTTGGAAAGGGCAACACAGCGACATGCTAAACAGAATATAAGGCAACCAACTTGGAGTTGGAACTACTCTGGTATTTTGGGGTTTTTAGTTTTTCTTCTCAGATTCGGACCGCTCGAATTATGAAATGTAAAATCATTAACCGTGTTTAAATAAAAAATACTTCAACTGAAGTGTTTTATATAAAATTTATAATTGTCCATTCTTATTCAAGCTCATTGAAAATGCAAATATAATTTTTTCACCCTATGTACATGACCCTTTTTGTCTCCCACCAACAGGGCAGATACTAATTATATGCTTTTTTAACAAAAATAGTTGTCTACTGATACTGTTAATTACCAGCTGAGCATAATCTTTTTGGTACGTCTAGTTAATCACCCCGCACATTTTGGTGATTAAAAGACCACAAATAAAATGCACTGACTATATATACTGTACTATGAGAGTGGTCATGATCATGGTGACTCACAAGTGAACAAAGCAACACCCAGTGAATCATACTTTCTTTGTCACAGAAGGTACTGTGGCTATTGATGCAATTGCAGCTGGTTTTGCGGCGGGGGGCGGGGCGTGGGCGTTCCTTTAATCTTTTTTAATATGTTGAGTCTAGAGTTCTTGCACGTTAATTTAGATGATGAATTCATGAGGGGTCGGTGTTTAATTTAGTTGGGATAATAATATATTAGGTCAAAACCTAGAAATACATCAAAATTTGGTGATGAAAAGGAAGATATCTATGTATAAATACTTTAATCTTTGTAAAAAAAAAAAAAAAATCACTATAATAAGTCGTCACACATTTACCAATTCTCACAAAATTGGGATGATCAGGCCTAGTAAAACATATTAAAAACAGAAACAAGAAACTTGATTATTTAAATTAAACAAATTTTTTTTTAAAAAAAAAAAAAACTAAACTTTAAAATAAATATATTGTTGTATTTGAAAAAAATGGAAGCTAGAATTTTCCTCGCCCCCATTGATAATAAAACATTTTATTTGATTCACTTCAATTCTTTCTTATTTTGTTTCCTTCAATAAATAGAAGATTTTCAAAGTGCAGGAATTTTACTCAGTTATCAAAGATAAAAAATAAAATTAAGAGGAAGGAAGTTAATGTGTAAAAAGGAATGTAAAAATGGCCTTCCTCTTCTATAAGGTCTGGAATTATACATAAGTCAATGGTTGATCTGGATTCGTGATCAACCAATTGCGGTGAGCGAGCTAGAAAACCTAAACCCCTCGTTAAGAAAAAAGTATATGCATAATATAGTTCACTAGCCATATATCTATATATGTATGGAAGTGGAAGTAAGTAACATGCATCTGAAACAGAAAGAAATGGGAGAGACAGAGACACAGAGAAGGAGATAAAAATACAGACGACATACCTTTGGTTTTATAATATAGGTACTCTTTTCCTACTACTTCAGCTCTTCAGATGATGAGAGACTCTTCTCCCCGGCATCCACAAAAATGAAGACAACTCGGCTGTTGTTCTTTTGGTGGTATATAGGAGTGTAGGCTAGCTAAAGCTTCTCCTTTTATTTAAACCCAAAAGGAGTTCTTTCTCTGCAGATGCATAGACTGGCTTTTTCTCAGCTTGGTTGTGCTTCTTTAAGAGAGAGAGAGAGAGAGAGAGAGAGAGAGAGAGCGCTTTTTTTAACTATTGGCTGGTATAAAGTTGGAAGAAACAGCAGACGTCTCTTTCAAGTTTTCAACACACTAAAAAAAACCTGAAGTTACTCGTGGATTCCCGAAGCCATACCGATCAATTAATTAGGCAATGTAAATTTGAAAAATTATTAAACCAAACACCTAAGTAGTCGTAATTATGAAATATAGAAGCAAAATAATCTGTTGTCATATTAGCTTTCGATAAATATGATTAAGGCAATTGTGACACCTTAGCTCTGTGGTTCTCTTCTCTATAATGCCTGTAGGTATTCTTTAACTAATGGTTTTCTTTATCTTCTCTTTATTATATTAACAGCGGACAGGACACTCCAATCCTTGTAGTTTCGGTGCATTTTTTTATTACTAATGCAAGAAGTTCTTTTCTTATAAAATAAACATTGGTGGAGAAATGTAAATGACAACCAATGTCAAACATTTTTTTGTTCGAATTGTATAAACCAGCGCAAAATTATGAGTATTCTAATCAAATTATATAACGTGTAGTTGGTTTTATTAATATAGTCGAAAAAAGAGTCATATTAATTATGTTATCGATTTGACGCAAGATGATATAACAAAAAATCAAACAATAATCCTTCGCTAGAAAACAACTAGTAAACCCTAGTCATCCGTTTGGATGGAGGAAATATACTTGGAGTTTAGACAAAATTCAGAATTTATAAATTAATTTGCACCAATTCCTTGTTTGGATGCATAAACATAAAAATTTATAATTTCTAAGTGAAAAAAGAGAAAAAAAAAAACTTAAAATTGAGACCTTCAATTCTCAAATTTAAATTTTATATAAATAGTTGTCATTTTAAATTTACATGAGTGAGTATCCCTTGTCATAGCCGCTACCAACAGCACCTGTCATAGCCGCTACCAACAACATCAATACTTACTACTGTCACCGCCGCCACCACCACTTACCATCCACTTGTATTATGACATGTGAGTATCCCTTGAATCAGAGACAGAGCCAATTATTGACTGCTTTGAGCTCTAACACATCCCAAATTTTGAAAGACTTTAATTTTTTTTATGTTAAAATAAGCATGTTATGGTCAAATTTTCACAAAACAATATTTTTAGCTTACCTCAATGCTTAAATTTCACTACATATTACGAGAAAAATAAATTAGCCTACCCCCTATTAAAATTGCCTAGCTTTGCCATCGCCCTGAATACTCGATATTTGAGAAAATCTCTCCCATTTGTGATGTGTTTGGGTTAATTATATTGAATATAAGTGGTATGAATCACTTGTTAAATGTACTACAAAATTATAATTTTTTACCATTACTCTTCAGAAAAGAAAAGAAAAAACCGAATTGAAAATGGTCTAATTAGTGTTTATGATGTACAATTATAAATACATGTGCAGAAACAGTTTGGCCATGATTCCCGACGAGTAATTACTTTTGTCCCATCATATGATGTATCACGTGCTGCAGCACATCATTGGACAAATCTTACCTCACATGCTATATGTGATTGTGTCATCCTGTTTAACCAAATATTTTTGGTACTATTTATTTTAATAAAAAATGGTATTTTTACTTTAAAAGTTATTTATAGTACTATTGATTTACAACAATTTTTTATTATTTTGGTTAAAATTTAAAAATTTCAAATTATTTTTATTAATTTTTCAAAAATAAAAATAATATTATTTACACGTTTCTTTTTATCTTTTAAAACATTGCATTTAATTTTCGATAGTCGAATTTAATAAAATAAAAATTATCAAACAATGAAAAGTAACAAGGAATATGTATACAGTAAAGAGAAGTGCATGATAAATACTACCTTGAAATAATATAACTTTATCAAGTAAGAATTGCGCTGGTAACTATTAACTAATGCTAATTGCTTTATAAGTCCTTTTTGTAGGTCAACAATTAGTTTATTATAAGTCTTAGCTACCCAAATGGCTGGACACCTTCGCAAGAGTTTCATCATTATGGGTCCCACCTTTACTAATTTTTGTTAGAGGTGCGTATGTTACAGTTAAGAGTTTGACACGTAGTACTACAGTTTAGTGATATTCTTTTTCACTTGTACTTGTAAGTAAGAGATCTTAAATTCGATTTTTGTCAAAAACAAATTTAAACCCACATTATTACTAGTCTATTTTGATGCTTGGCACCCGTATGAGTTAGTAGAGTTAATATCGTTTGATCACAAAAAAGATATATAAGAGTTTCATCATTACATGTTGATCATCTTTGAGTAAAAATATCCACATACTTCTTTTAAAATGTTACACATTCTCCGTAAATTTCTGTCATTTGATTATTTTTAATTTTCGATTCGAAGGCGAATAACTGAATGAAATGTGTGATAATACCATCCAAAAATAATCCACTTGATAAGATTTGAGTCATCTACCAATTAGGAAAATTAGCAAACTTTTTTTTTAAAAAAAAATAAAAGCAATATTACTTTATATTAATCAAACTTACAAAGAGAAATATACAAATACAAATTGTTCTAGTTAATGTGATTACCCTAATGTCTACAAGCTAAAAGAATTAAAAGAAACGCAATTAAAAAAAAAAAAAAGTGACTTTTTTGTTTGCTAATTGCTTATTAGAATAATAAAAAGTTAGGATAGTGGTTACAGCATGTGTTTTTTCTTACCGTTTGGCAGGATCTTTAATGGTATTTAGCGTACATAATTGATTCCACTAAGTGCGATTTCTTTTCGAATTTTGTATAAAACATTATGGTAATCGTGTAATATACCAATAAGAAAGTTTCAACACTTTCACAAAAGGTAGCCACTTGCAAATATTTGATGGTGCAACGTAGAACGCGAAACATGTGGATTAGAATAGGGCAAACACATGCTAAATGTAATCGAGATGTTGCACATAAAAATCGATGTATCAAGTTCTTGAATGTCCGATAGATATCTGTATTCAATCGCGAGCATTAGAAAATATAACAATTATGACACTACAAAAAAAAAAAAAAACCCTCAATAGATAGAAAAGTTTTATCGGGTCAAACTTAGTTTCATCACCTAACGTTTAGTCAATGAAGCTTCGTCGGGAAAGATTAGTAGGGCAAAACCTGTTGCTCAAAGTCTTAACCGACGAAATTTCGTTTAACCCAATAGATAAGTCGTCGAACAAACATGCATTGACTGTATTTACTCAACGAAATGATCTTGCCTAACAAGCATATTTCGTCGTTGGCACGTAATTAAAAAATGTTATAAACTTGAACCGACAAAAAAATTGTCGGGTCAACTCTAAGAATCCAAAATTTAAAAAGTAATATAATGTTTGCTCGACAAAATAGTTCATCAGGCTAACAATTTTTACTTTTAAAAGAAAAAATTTAAAATAATATATTTAATTCTACTATATTAATTTAGAAAACCATAAATAATGGCTACTTTAAAAAAAATATTTAATTACATTGAAAATAAATTTGTTCGTACGATTATATGAAAAAAAAAACTAAAGTTTAAGAACAGTTGTTAGTACCACTTCCTTTCTCTTGGCCAAAAGCATTCGGATTGTATGGATCTACGCATGTGCAGTTGGATCAACATTCATATGCTTTCTAAACTCTAAACCAACAGCTAAAGTGAAAGAACTAATTGTTAAAGTTGGCACCGGAAGTTAGGAGATTTGGTATGTCTTAAAATTTTAGGTGACAATTAGCCAAAGTTGTTTAGGCTTTTTCTGTGGTTTGGCTAAATAATCAGGACTTTAGGAGGTTATTAAATGGAGTACATACTAAATTTAGAAATTGGCGTAGCTACTAAGTTGTGAAAGATCAAAGCACGGAATAGAGAAATTTCTTAATATACCGGAAATACGGTCCGATACATCAAGTGTCATAATATAAGTGGTTGAATTTTCTTTTTTCATCCAAAATATACAATCATTTGTATTATATCACTTGGTATATCGAACTGTGTTCTCGACACACTGAAAAATCTTTTCACATAATAAATGCCAAGCCTGCCAACTATATTAATTATATCTAGCCGGATCCACTTCCATCCTATATACTTTTTTTTTTTTTTTTTTAAGAAAAGATGATATATATTATTGACTTGAAACCAAATGTTACATCATATTTTGAATGAGGAGATCCTATAAGGCCATCTCCAACCAAAGAGTTTAGAGGGCCGAAAATAGCCTGAAAACCGTCATCAACCGAGGGCTAGGTCAGAGGGCTCGTGGACCCCATGGAATCTGAAAGGGCCAAAAGGCTGGCCCAATCCAGCCAGTGAGCCCCAGGCTGACCATAAATTTAAGAATTGTTGTCTGATATAACCGACAACATTGTTATTAATCCTATCGGTTATATCTGACAGGAATTCTTAAACAATCTTTTTGAATCAGCTAGCCATTATTTTTTAATTATTTTTTTTACAAAATTTTTTAAAACTGTTATTTTTTTAAATCTATTTTTTTCCCCAAAACTTCCCTAAGCCATTATACAACATTAAATTAAATTAAGTAACATGAAACAACATTAAATAACATTAAATAACATTAAATTTAAATAATAAATTATGTTTGGCGCTATGGCCCTTTGGCCCTCGGTTGGAGATGATTTTTTGTGACAAGACTAAAATGAGCCCTATGGCCCTTTGACCCTCAGTTGGAGATGGAAGCAAATATGGCCATGTACTGTCTATTAAAATATTAATTTTTTGGAGGACTAGAGGGTTAAAACGAGTCCTCTGACCAGCCTTTGATTGGAGGTGGCCTAAGATTAGGGGATCTTCAAACTAAACTATCACATTACCAATAGAAGTAGCAAACTGAACCAATCTTGGGTTATATCATTACAAGTTCTAGGAACGCGCAGAAACTTAGTAGGTTGTAGAGTTTCTGCAAATTAGAAAACATCCCCTGCTAAAAATCCCAACGCAGACAAATCATGTGAGTGGGCTCTAATAGCG